TCATCTCAAAATAAATTCTAAAGCATAAAATATAAGTAGATATGTACCATTCACATTATCATTTTGCATGAATGTTTAATAGTTTTTTTTCTTCCGTTGTAACGCACGGACATATTTGCTAGTATAGATTAATATATTAACCAAGTGAACGTGATTGGTAGGCTAATCTAATATTTTATATTAACCATCTATTAACGACATTTGTAAGGTGGTTCAACTTTTTTTTGTACGACCAAACGTTCTCTCTTTCTTTATAACAAAAAAAAGTAAGTTTACTGAAAGATCCATAAACGTGATGGGTCCTCATATTTTATATTAATATTAATATTAATACATTAACCAAACGTCTACGTGATAGATAGACCGATCTACTATCTTGTATTAACCAACTATGAAATGCATGTACGGCCATTTTTTCTTTTTCTTTTAAAAAAGATTTTATTTACTATAATGACAGAGGTGGATAATTTTCTATTAAATAAAATAGATCTAATGGTTATGAATGGCAAGAGCCTTTTGATTTAACGGCCGGATGTTTCTAATTAATGTGAGATATTCTAGCATTTATCTTTTTTTCTAGCACGCCTGATGAGGATTAACGTAGGGCTCCATTGGTTTGTATGACAAATCCAACAAAGAGTTTTGATACATTTCATGGCCCGGATGGGGGAATATGAAACACTACGCCGGCGGATGACGCAAAACGACCCTAGAAAGGCATTGTTAGAGCCACGACCCAGCGAAGAGGTCCGACAATGGGCCCGGGAGCTTCTCAGGCCTGCAAGATCGAAGGTTCAAAGGCTAGTCAGCAGATGACACGTGGCCGCCTTCGGAACAGGGGGATGAATGACGAGCACACAGCAATGGATCCACTAGCAGTCTTTGCTCAGGCGCACGGAGCGCTCGGTCATTGCACGATGTGCAGCATGACCCTATGAAGTCATGACTGAACCCCTCGGTGGGGGTGGGAACTCTGGCGACAACAAGGCAGCGAGCTAGTCACTCGGACCTTGGTAGGTTGGGTAAGCGGAATGCCTTATGAAGGCTCGAACCAGACGCCCTTGGCCGAGGGCTTATTTGGGCCCTTCTCAGACTTGATCGGCTTGTGCTTGCCGATAGCATTGCCTGGCCTCTGAGTTGGGTCCACGACCTTCTTATCCTCCAAAGGAGAACAACCCCAATGACAAGGACCTTGTGCTGGTCGATCGATCAATTGGAAAAAGTAGAAATCCCCTCGCTGTCACTCCTAAAGACAAATCGGAGAGACCATGATGATCTCGGGGGGATCATAATGAATTTCTAGCAGTAGGACTACGTAATCCCTCAGCTAAACATGCTCACACCTGCATTAACCCCCTGGTTGATTCTACAAATCATCCAGGGGCTCAGGGGCTACACCTAGCGGGTGTGCTCTCGCACCTGAAAGTCCATGTTTTGTTTTGGTAATTAAGTGACAACCTTAGGTGGAATAATGCGTCTCATGTGAGATGAATATGTACATAGTCCACACAAACACACTAGGTCGAGCAAGACATGGTAGCCATGGCAGAGAGATGGCTTATGCATTTGATGTAAGTGCTCAACTAATCAAGATGAAGGAGCGTATTGAATATATGAGACATGATCACATAGTCTCATATGGCTAGGTGGAGAAGGTCAAGGCAAGGATTGACTATGAAGGACCAGGTTGCAGCAGTGAAGGATAAGCTAGAGGCTCGGGTGAAAGGGTCGAGATGGCGGACTAGAGGGGGGTGAATAGTCTTTTCTAAAATTAATCGCGTCGGCTAACCGATATAAATGCGGAATTAAAACAATCGGTCTAGCCAAGACTACACCCCTCTATATATGCTCACTAGCACCTTGCAAAGATACTAATTATGCAACTAAGGTGCCGGGCTAGCTAGAGCTCTCCTAAACAATTCTAGGAGTAAGGTCACACAAACCTATGCCACTAGTACTTTAAGCAACAAGGGAGCTCCTACACATGCTAGTAAGCAAAAGCACAAAGCCAACTAAGCTCCCAAGCAAAGCTCAATAACAAGGCAATCAATGCCTAATTAGAGAGCGCAAATACTTAGCTACACAAACTAAGCAATGTGACTAACAAGGTTACTAAAACCAAATTAGCCACGCAAGGGAGCTACTTCTATGCTACACAAGCAAGAAGGTAACTAGTAAGCTACACAAGTTAACTAATTACAAGAGCAACTACACAAGTTTAAGATATATAAAAGTAATTGCAAGCTTGTGTAATGGGGATGCAAACCAACGGGAAGAACAAGGTTGACATGATGATTTTTCTCCCGAGGTTCACGTGTTTGCCAACACGCTAGTCCCCATTGTGTCGACCGCTCACTTGGTGGTTCGGCGGCTAATTAGCATCACCCGCTAAGCCCGCACGTCGGGCACCGCAAGAACCTACCCCTTGAGTGAGGGTAGCTCAATGACACGCTTTACTAAAGTTGCTCTTCATGACTCCATGGGCGCAGCACAAGTACCCCTCACAAGCACTTCTCCGGAGCGCCGCACAAGCTTCTTACGGGCTTCGACGGAGACCACCACCAAGCCGTCTAGGAGGTGGCAACCTCCAAGAGTAACAAGCACCACCGGCTTGCAACACGACCACCTAGTGCCACTCGATGCAACCTCATGATGCAATTGCACTAGAATCGCTCACTCACACAATCGAATGATCACTATCAAGTATATGTGTGATGGAGGGCTCCCAAGCACTCACAAGCATGGACACTAAGTCCCTTGAGGTGCTCGGCTCCAGCCATGGCCGAGGGCCACTTCTATTTATAGCCCCAAGGGCTAAACTAGCCGCTACCCTTTCATGGGCAGCGGTCGGGCCGACCGGGCGCTCGGTCGTGTTGACCGAACATCGGGACCTCGGCGTCCGGTCACCCATGACGGCCACGTGTCCCGTTCCAATGGTCACTTGACTCGACCGGACGCAGCAGCTTCAACGACCGGACGCTGAACCCCAGCGTCCGGTCGTTTCGCTTCAAAGTATACCGACCTCGACCGGACACGTCCGGTCACACTTGATCGACGCACCGGCGTCCGGTCACACTCCAACTTCTGCATCATCGTGCGTCGGCTGACCGAACGCAGCGGCTGCCAAATATCCGGTGCATTCAATCCGAGTCCGGTCGGTTGATCGACGCCAAAGATCTTCGCGACTAACTCGTTTTCACTTCTAACTTCATCACCCTTGCTCCAATGTGCTAACCACTAACATCCGGCAAGAACTTAGGCATCTATTTTCCCGAAAGCGCGAATAGAAGAGAGGGACCCAAACCCATCTCACCCTTGCAAACACCACCTCCTTTGTAAATGTGCCAACACCACCAAGTGTATGTGTGTTAGCATTTTAACAATCATTTCCCAAAGGATGTTAGCCACTCAACTTGCCACGCCACTCGATCCTAGCGACAATGCAAAGTTAGATCACTCGAGTGGCACTAGATGACCGATATGCAAACAAGTTTGCCCCTCTTGATAGTACGGCCATCTATCCTAAACCCGGTCATAAACTTCTCTACACACCTATGACCGGTGAAATGAAATGCCCTAGGTTATACCTTTGCCTTGCGCATTCCATTCCATCTCCTTCAATGTTGATGCAACACATGCACCAACACGATCAACAATGATATGATCCACTTCATATCATCACATGATCATATTGGTTCATCGATCTTGACTCTACTTCCTCTTCACCGTTGCTATCGTCCATCGGCGCCAAGTCTTGCTCAAGCTTCACCGCCACGCGGTCCATCACTCTAAAGCCTTTGACTTGCCCTTCACGCTTGCAACCGGTCCATCAAGCCAAGTCTTGTCTTGATCTTCTCCACCTTGATCACATGACTCAATGTCATGTCTCATGTGCAATAAGCTCCTTCATCATCACATGTGTGAGCTTTGCAACATCTCCAAGCCATTTTCACCTCCATGGCATATGTTGCTCATACACATGTACCTGTGGACTAATCACCTGTGTATCTCACGTAAACACAATTAGTCCACCTAGGTTGTCACTCAATTACCAAAACCAACAAGGACCTTTCATCGGGTGCGATGAACTATTGAGGCGGTGAAGTGCAAGTAGATGGCTTGGCGTGGATAGATCAACAGTGAAGAACAAGCAAGGCTACAATCGATGGACCAATAAGGACATGTGAAGTTATGAAGTGGATCATATCATCCATGGTATTGAACCAAGTGTTTATTTGTGTTGATGATCAAGTGGATTGATGGAGTGATGATGAAGGAGCTTCTTGGTTTGGGCAAATGGTCAATGCAGCATGGTTGGATAAATTTGATGGATGGACATTATTGATCATTTGATGAAGATGGAGGTTGCATGCTTGTGTGGCATCACTGACATGGAGATGGAGTGGAATGCACAAGGCGAAGGTATATTTGCAGGGCATTTCATTCTGCCGGTCTAAGGTTTTGTAGAGAAGAGGTTGACTGGGTTTAGGATAGATAGTTGTACTATCAAGAGGGGCATTCTTGTTGGCTAATCAGTTATCTAGTGCCACTAGGTGAGATCTAACTAGCGATGCATCTAGATTGAGTGGCGTGAAAAAGGAACAAGATCAAAACCTTTGAAAACGAATTTGAAAATGCTAACTTAGTGTTAAAGGAGGTGTTGTCATGTTATACAACATTTGGGAGTTAGTACATTTGAAAATGGTTTTGAAACGAAGATGGGTTTGTTATTTCAGCCATCACCAAAATTTCCCGGTGGTGTCTCGGAGGGCACCGGAGAAAGCCGCCTAGCTCTGAATAGCTGCTAGCTAACTTGGAGTTTCTGGTGATGGTCTCACCATAAAATCCCAATGTGTTAAAAATGCATGTCGTCATAAAATGCATCCGTATTAATAGAACCAGGAGATGTCACATATAGGAAGCAAATCTTTTATTTCATTGCATAGTACCAATCGATCACCATTACATAGTAATGCAACATGAACATATTAGCAACCTGATCATTTGGAGATACATGATGGCAGGCACCTAATTGTTGATGAAAATATAGCCCGAATGCCATGTTTCTTCTTCTTCTCCTCTAGTGCCACGTTCAGTTTTCCAATCTCCCCATCCTTTTCAGCATTGTTGTTCTCAAGTGCCTCAATGTATGACTTCATGAGGGCTACCTCAGCCTTCTTAGTGTCCAGTGCTTTCTGGATTGAATTCTTCTCATCAGTCAAGCCTGAATGCTTGGCATCAAGTTTGTTATAGGATGCTTGCAGCTGTGACATAGTAACATGGAGCTCCTCTAACTCAGCTCTCAAGTTATTGGCCAAGGCATCCTTGTTGTGTACTGCTTCCTCAGCTAATTCCTTGTTAACTTGGCTTTGCTCTGCCTCTCTCTTAAGATCCTCTAATTCATTCATGATCTTTGTCTTCTCGGCATCAAATACCATTGCAGCTGCCTCCTTGGCCTCAGTCAATGCAACCATTTCCATCTTGAGCTTCTCAATCTCTGTTTCAAACAAGCTATGTTTTTGCTCTATAGTGAGAACATCTGACCGAAGCTTATCATTTTCAACCATCACCAACTCCTTGCTGGCCTTGATTTCCTCAACCTTTTCGTTGAGGTCCTCCAGTTCCTTCATGATTTCTGTCTTTTTAGCATCAAACTCCAAGGCGGCTGCCTCCTTCACCGCTGCTAGGGCATCTAGTTCCATCTTGAGCCTCTCAACCTCTTCTTCAGATAAGCTAAGTTTTTGCTCTATGGTCACAACCTTCGATTGAAGCTTATCATTTTCACCTATCACCAAATCCTTATGGGCCTGAATTTCCTCCACCTCCCTCTTAAGATCCTCCAATTCCTTCATGATTTCCGCCTTTTCAGCATTAAATGCTTTGGCACTTGCCTCCTTTGACCCTAATTGTGCACCTAGTTCCATCTTGAGCCTCTCAATCTCTTCTTCAAATAGTCTACATTTTAGCTCCGCGGTCAAGACATCTGACCGAAGCTTATCATTTTCACCCATAACCAAATCCTTGCTGGCCTTGATTTCCTCAACTTTTTCGTTGAGGTCCTCCAGTTCCTTCATGATTTCTGTCTTTTTAGCATCAAACTCCAAGGCGGCTGCCTCCTTCACCGCTGCTAGGGAATCTAGTTCCATCTTGAGCCTCTCAACCTCTTCTTCAGATAAGCTAAGTTTTTGCTCTGTGGTCACAACCTCCGATCGAAGCTTATCATTTTCACCTATCACCAAATCTTTACTGGCTTGGATTTCCTCCACCTTCCACTTGAGGTCCTCCAATTCCTTCATGATTTCGAGCTTCTCAGTTTCAAATGCATTGGCAGCTTCCTCCTTCGCCTCCACTAGTGTAGCCAATTCCATCTTGAGCCTCTCAACCTCTGCCTCCGACAGTCTATGTTTTTGCTCTGTGGTCAGAACTTCTGACCTAAGCTTATCATTTTCAGTGTCCACCAAATCCTTGTTGGCCTGAATTTCCTCCAGCCTCCTCTTAAGATCCTCTAATTCTAGCATCATTTCTGCCTTCTTAGCATCAAATGCCTTTGTAGCTGCCTCTTTCTCCTCTGCCAGTGCATCTAACTCCATTTTGAGCTTCATAACCTCCGCTTGGGACTGGCTATATTTTTCCTCAGCCGCCGAAACCTCCAACTGAAGTTTATCATTTTCACCCTTCAATCTCCTCTCCACCTCTTCCTTCTCACTAGACAGCACCTGAGCCGCCTTGTTTGTCTCCTCCAATTGCTTCTCCAGTTTACCCTTCTCGCGGAGCAGCTGGGCGCTTTTGCTCTCCAAGTCCCACACCTTGTCCCGAAGTGCCGAGATCTGGTTGGACAGCGTCTTCACTCTCTCATCCGTGAAGAGATCTGCAGCTCATTGTTTAGAGTGGGTATTAGAGTAGAGGAGAGAAAAGGCACTGGACCATGGCATGCATGCATGCTACGTCCAAGTTGGAGGGAGAAAATTAAAGAAAGAAAGATGACATCGATGCATGTCTTGGCGCACCTGCAAACCACGGCGCCGCCATGTCCTGCTGTTGTCACACTCGTTCAGATATATACTTGAAGAGGCAGAAGAGACGTTCACTGCTGATCCTTCTTCTTTCCTGACACACTGACCCTGATCGATGCAGCTGCCCAGGGGTGCAACACATATATATACACAAAATGTGGAAGAAAGAAAGGACTGAGAGGATGAAGTGTAGATGAGGAAGATGGAAAGAGGAGGGGCGACAAGGGATGGAGTGCGGTAAAGAAGAAATGGGGACAGAGGATGAAGTGTCGGTGAGGAAGTGGGATAAAGGAGGAGCTCGTCAGTACTTGCTGGGGTATTGTGGTGGGTGATTGATGATTCTATGTACTTGATGCACTGGATGAACACCTCGTTACTTTCCATCACCTTTTTTTTCCATTTTTTTTGCTTATGTAGTCTTTGCTGTACGTGATCCGTGAACTCTGTCCGGAAAATTTTAGTGCTAGCTAATCACTTACTACGTCCGAAGTCTTCTACTGGTTCTCGGCTCGATCTCCGAAACAAGTGTACGTTAAAATACGTACGGGTTGTAAATCCAGCTTTTGATCGCATGACAAATACTGTATTTCACGTGAATGTTCTGTAATTTCCAGTGGAACTTAACAGAATTTCATGTGCAAACGTTCCATAGAGTTTCGTGTGCAATTGAGTTGAACCTGTTTGGTCCATATGGTGAGTTTCCAAACAAGAGGCCTAGTGTTATCTAAAATTAAGCTAACCACATAAAAATTCTGGACCACACAAGTAAACTAAAGTGGTCTAAAGTTTTAGTCAAAAACTTTAGCCAGCTAAGCTTTAGATCAGAGAATTCAAATTGGCCCTCACTGGAGAATGATTTTAACCAAGGTCATGCATTTACCCGCTGAACAACTTCGGTCATGTTCGTTTCTCTTATAATCCGTACTTTTCAGCTTGTTTTTTCAACCGAAACAGTGTTTTTCTCCCACAACAAATCAATCGGAACAGTGTTTTGGCTTGTTTTTTCAGCGAAGTGAACGGTGCCTTCACTGGGAAAATTGCTCTCCCGCTGAACGACTTTGTAAAGTCTTTTTCTCGTAAAGCGACAACAGCTTTTTTCTGAAATTTATTTAGATGAGACGCGATATACTTTTTTAATATAGAGAAAAATTGTATTAAAAATCCATCACGAAACATTGTTGCTTGCTCTACAAGATGCTGCTGGAAAAAAAACACTCAAAGTAGGAAATAAGAAAAGAAATTCCACGATCTGGGCTGTATTGTTGCACAGGTCAAAAGGACAACTTTTATCAGCACAACACTTAATGTCAGGTTTAAAGTTCATCATACAATTTTTTTAAGAATTACAAACATGGTATAAGTTGTTGGTATAAGGTCTGAAATTCATCTCCTTTGTAAAAAAACAATCACCCAACTCCTATTCCATATTATTATTTGACAATCTAAACGGAATGCTCAAGGGAAAGTTTACTTCAAATTGTATGATGTACCATGATGTAGTGGAACAACAACGATAAAGTCTTTAAGTCCCAAACAAATTGGTGTAGGCTAGAGTTCAAACCCAGTAGAAGCAATCAAGGTTCAGGCACGTAAATAACTGTTTTCCAAACACTTCTATCTAAGGCTAAGTTTTTTGGTATATTCTTTCCTTTCAAATCTCCTTTTATTGCTTCCACCCAAGTTAACTTCGGTCTTCCTCTGCCTCCCTTCACGTTACTATCCTGGCTTAGGATTCCACTACGCACAGGTGCCTCTGGATGTCTTCGTTGGACATGTCCAAACCATCTCAACCAGTGTTGGACAAGCTTTTCTTCAATTGATGCTACCCCTAATCTATCACGTATATCATCGTTCCGAACTCGATCCATTCTTATGACCGCAAATCCAACGCAGCATACGCATTTCCACGGTACTTATCTGTTGAACATGTCGTCTTTTCGTAGGCCAACATTCTGTACCATACAACATAGCAGGTCTAATCGTCGTCCTATAAAACTTGCCTTTTAGCTTCTGTGGTACCATTTTATCATATAGGACACCGGATGCTTGGCGCCACTTCATCCACCCTACTTTGATTCTATGGCTAATATCTTCATCAATATCCTTGTCTCTCTGTAGCATTGATCCTAAATATCGAAAAGTATCCTTCCTAGACACTACTTGACCTTCCAAACTAATATCTTCCTTCTTCCGAGTAGTAATGCCGAAGTCACATCTTATATACTCAGTTTTAGTTCTAATGAGTCTAAAACCTATGGACTCTAAAATCTTCCGCCATAACTCCAGTATCTAATTCACTCATGTCCGGCTTTCATCAACTAACACTACATCGTCCGCAAAAAGCATACAACAAGGAATGTCCCCTTATATGTCCCTTGTGACCTCATCCATTACTATGGCAAACAGATAAGGGCTCAAAGCTGGAATTACCGTAACTGCAGCAGCAAAAATAAATGTGCATATTGCAGTCAATTTTTTTTCTCGAACTGGCAAGAGAGCTGTGTCTTTGTATTGAAGAGAGAAAGAATGATCCCGTACAAACCAACCTCCTTAATCCCAAAAGAGAAATAAGAAGGGGCTGCCATAAAAAAACTAGAAAAACAATCAAACCAATCGCAAAAAGTCATAGCACCCCAAAATTTCATAATTGATTTTAAGATTAGTACCTAACCTTGACTATTCTATAGGTTCAGACATGCATCTTCCAAACTATTTTTTCTCATAAATCTAGAAAACAAATGTTACACTAGAGATCTATATTGTAGTTTCCAAATATATCTAGTCACACTTTCAAAAATATTTGGCCAACTCTGAATCTAAAGAAACAGGATAAGTGGAATATTACCATCTAGCATGCGGCACAAATATATTAGCAAGCATGTGGCGGGCTACAACTACCTAGATTATATACAAACACTGCCATACCAGACAGAGTACTAGTAAACCTATGGTCCTGTTGCCAGGTTAACCCGGCCTTGCAGGATTCTATGCTAAAAGACAGAAGTAGCAATGGAACAGGGAAAGCACTGGTAATGCATAGAGTGACCACACCGCATTATTCAGCCAAGTGTCTATCTATATCACTTTTGTAAATCAAATTAGTTTCTATCATCTGGAGTTCTTTTAAAGTCCATTCCACTGCTAAAAGATTGTCACAACTGAAAAGATGACAACAGAAACTGAAAATGTCTATTTAACATTTTTCAGATGTACTTGACAGTTTCCATGGAGATCAACTGATATTTTTTTTGCAAGCTCAGTGTTTAATCCTGTAACCATTTTCTCTCAAGATGCTTATAAAACACAGCTGCTAGGAAGGAAAAGTTTTTTTTTCTCTTTTGCCTATTTCTTCTCTGGAAGGGCAGGTCTGGTGCAGTGGTGAGAGCTGTCTCACTGAATCACCTGGTCGTGGGTTCGAAATAGCCTCTCCGCAGATTTTGCGAGGAAAAGGCTTAGTCTCGGTTTATCCCTTTCCCAGACCCCAATCAGGTGGGAGCCTCCGGCACTGGGTCTGCCCTGCCCTATTTCTTCTCTGCCCTTTGGCCCCTTGAGTCTAGACCGAAGAACCAGGAGGTAGACATATACTGCTAAACATCCACCATATTCATACCATTTAGGCAAGCAGCTCTCGTGCACAAACACAGAACATTATCCTGTATAACATACAAAATATAGCATTCCGTGGTATATTTATGAGTTTGGTTCAGAGTTCTATGCTAAATCAATACATGTTTATAATTAACAGTACTTATTCCATTCCTAATCAATAATTACTTCAAGATCTGGGCTCACGCAAATGAAATGTCAATTTCGATAAGCAGCACCACACCATGCAGGTCTAAAATCATCAATTATCCATTCCTCATTTTCCTTACCAAGAGGAGATCCAATGTAAAAGAATCTTGTAGTACCTGGTAATTTCGACAAGGGAGAATTACTACGGCTTCTCTTGATGATCTTCCCCGTTGTCCAATCCACCGTCTTGCAGCTGTGCTCTCCTCCTACCGCTATGTTCGTTTAGGCTTGTTTGGCTTATAAACCGTACTTTTTCAGCCAACAAACAGTATTTTTCTCTCGCACTAAATCAGCCAACAGTACTTTTACCAAAGACTTATCAGCCAAACAAGCCCAAACGAATAGGGCGGTCATAATTGTATTTGGAGAGTTCAAATTTGGGACGTCCATGATGTCTATTGACTATGTTCAGGATGGCAGGTTCTGTTGCCTCCAGATTGCTTTTAGTCGCGCCATCACAATGAATCCCAACCTGGAGCCGCTCTAGACTTGCAAGCTGATTGAACTTGAACTCAAAATCCAGCTGTGACACTGCTTTTTTTTTTGCCTTGAAAACAATTAAATGTCTGAGACTTTGCATAGCATCTTGCTCACAGAGAAATCTCAGCCCACCTTCACCCCAGGAGCCAATTTCAAACTCCGTTTGAAAAAAAAAATGTTGGCTTCCAATACTAAGCTTTTCCGATAGTGCTTCCTTTAATACCAGCTAGATATAGAGCAGTATGGGGGCATATGCCCTTATGGCAAAAACAACTTCGCAAAAAAAAATTGCCATCAAGGGCATATATTCCCATGTGTATTACCACTGGATGCATATGGGGATACGTGTGCAGCAGGAGAGAGAACGCATCAACTTTTGTAAGACGTGGTTCAAGATGGGAAAGCTTAACAAGAAGGTGTTTGGATCCAGTGACTAAAATATAGAAGGTGTCACGTGAGGGTGTCATATGGGGTGTTCGGATACTAATAAAAAAACAAATTACAGAATCCGTCAGTACTCCATAAGATGAATTTATTAAGCCTAATTAATCCATCAGTAGTATATGTTTACTATAGCACCACATTATCAAATAATGTACTAATTAGGCTTAAAAGATTCGTCTCGCAAATTAGTCGCAAACTATGTAATTAGTTTCGTAATTAGTCTATAGGTTCAAACATCCGATGGGACAACGACTAAAGTTTAGGAGGAGCAACCAAACACCCCCTAAAATCTACTCT